CAGCAGCAGCAGCAGCAGCAGCAGCAGCAGCAGCGTCACAGAGTCTACGCCACTCACGTATACGGTTGCTGTAAAACGCATGCGCAAGTTGACTCGTATCCCATCCTCAAGGGCTGAATTCATCACCTTGGCGTAGTTGGAAAAGTCGAAATTGGTCAAGAATCCAAGCGAGCCCAGTGCGAATGGCACCACTGGGGGAACGATTCGCTGGAATAGCCAAGAGCAGAATAGCACAGTACCGTCTCCGCCCAGCTGAGAGACGGGACGCTGAGAGTGTGAGGGGCCTGCATCGGATCCGTGCACCCACGCGCACTCACTGTCACGACGATATCGAACAGGTGCGGACTACGGCTGCACATGTCGCTCGTCCAGAAGCGGAGCTGGCCATCTTCACGAGACTGGCTCGAGCTGCTCGAAGCGCTTGACGTAGCACTTGGCATCTCGAATCCTGCACTTTTGGGCGTAGAGGCGGAGGCTTGCGACGAATGCTGACCACGATGCACGCGTTCAAAAAATTGCGGGTGGTCTCGTCGTATGCCTTGCACATCAAAACGCTTAGAGTTGCGCAGCTGCGAGTCGACGTAGCTGCGTGAGGAAGCGGTGTCCCGACCGTCAGCTAGGAGAATAATGCGAGGGGGGGAAAAGGCACACGACTCACACGACAAGTCCCGTATCTCTGCCCCTCCTGGGCGTCTGCATCAGCCAGATGGCGAGCTCGCGCGTCAATGAGATGAGATGATTATCTCGTGCCTTTGTGATGATCAAGACCGAGTGGATGTTGGACTTGACTCTCGCTTGGCCTGTGATGAGATCTGCGTGAGCAAACGAGTCGTGCATGAAGCACCACTAACCATACTCACCAAGCTGCTTGCTCATCTCTCGCACGCCGACTGCAGTCTCGGCAAGCTGTCGCGTCAAGCTCCGCATGTGATCGCTCTCGCTGTCCGAGACAGAGCCGCCTGTACTGCTCCCGCCTTCGCTCCCACTGTGCGAGTTCTCGCTGCTCGGCTCGGCTGCTCCTCTAGAATGCCGATGGGAGGGAGGGATGTGGACCCTGCGACGAGGCCTGGAGCCGGCGGCAGCTCGCGGACTCGATCGCATCTCGTGCTCGCTTTCAAAGTAGCCCGCGGGAGCATAGACCTCCGCACCTCGCTCTCTCGATGTATGGACGTGCGAATCGCTTCTGTTTGGCCACGCTCTGCGAGCAGAGGAACCTAGACCCGCATCGAGATACGAATGCACAAAGCATGGAGACGGGAGGGGTGCAGCCGGCGAAGGCGGTGATCCACTAGACCCCACACCGAGACCGTAATCAGGCTGCTCCGGCATGGCGATTTTGAAAGTGTTGGACGTGAGAGATACGAGGAAAGGACATGGTGGTGGTGGTGTATGCGCGATCTCTATGACTTGCTCACGATTCATGATTGATCAGCAACAAAACGCCCGCGCCGCGGGTGCGCCCGTGCGTGCGCCCGTGCGCGCACGCAAGTCGCGCGTGCAGCGTACGTTTTTGAGAAGGGATCGCCGCGTGCGCCTATATAGCCGGACGGACGCGCGTCTTTGGGAAATGGGGTTATGAATGGTGCGCGCCTGCGTGAAGCCTCGTTCTTGTTCGCAATTCAAGACTCACGCTTATTCGCCACCCCCGTCACCATTCGATGACGACTCGCGATGGAGATGATGCGCTCGCTGTTCTGTCTGTGGTGAAGGGCATTCATCTCTCCGAAGCACGGGCGAGCATTTGTCGCACCAGTCAGTACCTGCAGCCGGACGGACCTCGATGCCCGTCTTGTGGTTGTTTGCGCCCCGCTTGGGCCGCCGCATCGCACGCGGCCTGGATGCGGTCGATGTGGCTAGCAAACGTCGTGAAAAAGACCTCGGGGGTCTTGTGCACCAAACAGCCAGGGGCATAGGCGCGCATGTGCATCGCCATGGTGCCCAATTTCGCTCAGGTTGTATGTGTCCTCGTTGCACATAGGCAAGACGAACCATTTTTCCCCACATGTATCAATACCCGCCTATGTCGAGACAAGATGTGTAGGTCGAATACATCACCTATGCAAAGATCTTCTGTCGTAGTGACCTATAACCGACTAAACACGTGACCGAACCCCTCTTATTCCATATCGCTTGCTAGCCCCGCTCACCGGGCCAGTCAGCTCAGTCGAAGATAAAGATTTGCTTGATTGTCCTTCGTATCGCTAAGGGCGAGCGGCTGACAACCAAATGGCACATGGGGTCATGGCATTCAGCTCTTGTGGTACGAATACAGGCGAAGGACATCTACTTGGAGGCGCTCGCGCTTGAGGGCATTCTCCCGCATACGAGCTTGGTGCCATCTTTGTAGTTGTGGCGAACAAAGTCTACGATTCGCCTGTGCGGCTCGTCGTACTCTCTTGTGAGGCGGCGCACGGTCTCAACTGCCAGAGGAGTTGGAAGTCTCTGCTTGACTATGAGATTGTCAAGCTCTTGGACAAGCAAAGGCTTGCGATCCTTGAGAGCCTTTGCAGGCCTAGCCCTCCCTGCTCGATGCTTGCTTCCTTTAGCCGACGCAGAGGTGTTGACAAAGGGAGTGTCTCGGAGAGCAGGATTGCCTCCTCTTGAGCAGTAAGACCTCTGCTGGGCATATGCCGCAGCAGTTTGCGAGCTGTACCCTTTGGCCTGGGTTTTGGCCACGCTCGAGGAGTGACCTCCTGCGCTCTGCGCAATCGACACCCCTTCAGGCAGTGCCAGATGCCACTTGGCAGCAGCTGCTGCATCAAGTGATGCAGGGCGAGAGAGGCTAGGGTTCATCTTCCACTGAAGCGATCGCTCCTCGCTGCCTGGCTTTCCGACGGTGAGGATGTTCTGCCTTTTGATCTCGCTGGAATTCCAAGGCAGAGTAGGTCTCGTGCGCGTCCCATCGATCCCTACGTTTTCGCGAGACAGGGTGCCAGTCACCCGAGCGCGCTTCTTGCCCGCTGCTGGGCCGCCCGTGCGCACTCGCTTCTCGCTTGATCGCACTTTGGGTTCTTGATCCTGACGCAACTTTGGCTTTGGAGCGGCACATGCACCGGTGTGCATGCAAAATCCTGACATCATCAGCTGCTCGCACTCGTACGGTGGAGAATTCGTGACTTCAGCCAGCGGCGGGCGCACTGCAGGGCGACGTGATGCTGCGCCAGCAGTACTCGACGTTGAGCGTTGATCGATCGTGTTGCCACGATGATGGGAGTCGTCATTGTCGTCATTGTCACCAGCGCCGCCGTGAAAGTCGTGAAGGGAATCGTCATCATCTTCGTCGGCGTGGTCGTTATTGTCATCAGCATCGTCATTATCGTCGTCATCATGGAAATCGTCAAGGTCGTCACGGCCGTCGTCATCGTCGTCACCGCCAAAGCCGTCCAGATCATTGAAGCCGTCGTCACCGTTGTCACCGTTAAAGCCGTCCAGATCGTCATCGTCATCGTCGTCATTGTCACTCCAAAAGTCGTTGAGATCGGCATTACTGTCGTCGTCGTCGTCATCATCCTCATCGTTAGGAAGCTGTTCCAGGGGCATGAAGAAACGACGTGTCCGCAAAAGCTTCTTTATACGAGCTCGGGTCGACACGAGCAGGTCGGCAACTCGGCTGGCATCGATGAGCACGTCGAGCTCTGGCAGCTCTAGTCCTTGCTCTGCTGCTCGAAAGATTGCCGTCGTTAAATAGATCAGGCAAGCAAAGTCTTTGGCGTACAGCGGGCAGTACTTCAGAGCTCCTTCATCCAGTGCAACCACAAAGACAAAGGTAGCCAAGCTATCCCCGCGGCCATCGCTGGTACCGCTGACCTGCAGCATGAAGTCGTGGACGCTGCCGCAGCTGTCGATCCACCCGCTGGGCTTCAGCCACTTGAGCTGGCGCCGGTATCTCTTGTTGATGGCGTGCCCTTTATCCGCAAGCATTGTCAAGGCTGTGATCGGCAGCTCGCCCAAAAGAACGCTCGTCAAGACGTCTGCTCCGGTGACCGCTGCAATATCGTGGAGGATCTGATTTGCACGGTCAAGCAGCAAGAACTTGACTTGATGAGACGTAAGTCTAATCACCGTTGCTCCAGTCTGATAGCGAAAGCGTCTTGTCAGCCAGCGTTGCAACAGCGCATTTCTCACACCCGTACTCACCCGCAAAACAACGCGCAAGCACGAAATGAAGTAAAAGAGCAGATTTTCGTGACAGCTCCATGGGAAGAGGTCCACGACACGTCGTTGAGCAAAGGCGGGAGTCTGTTGAGCAAAGTCGAGAGTCTCGCGCCGACGCTCTACGCCATTGTACACTTCTCCGTCTCCATCGAAGGGGTAGTCTACCAGGGCCAGCATTTGCTGGTACAGCGCTGGACCCTGGCCACAACCCAGACCATGAAGACCGTAGTCATCTGCTGCATTATAGAGATCTTCAGTGGTGTTGTCCTTCATGATAATCAAAGAGTGCGCACTAGCTGAAGCTAGAGCAGCCATATCGACAACTCGCTGCACTGCCTCTGGGCATGGAGTTCTCATATTTGGAGCAATGTGCTGCAGAGCTGCCAGATCGTTGCGGATGATGGCCTGGACGCCTGCCGCTGCCTGCGCAAAGTCAAGACTTGGACGTCCATTTGCAACTCCTGCTGCTTCCAGAAGAGCTACGACAGCCTCTCTGTATTGATCTGAGGGATTAAAGCGGGAATGCAACCCACCACGTGCTGAGTTGAGGGCTAGAGGACCGGCAAGCGCGACAAGAAAGCGCTCCACATCTTGCTCCCCATCATTGCGTCGCCATTCCATCACCGTAGCTAAAGGCACTGTGTCAATGATGGACCATACGGACCACTCCTCTGCAGCCCATCTTGCCCTGCGTGTTGAGCAATAAGCAAGCGCCATAAGAAAGTGCCACTCCAAGGAACCGCATACACGCACCTTCTCGATCCAACACTGCCAGCCTCAGCATCCTCTTGCATGCGCAATTGTGGACCGTAAGAAACATCTCGGTGACAGCAGCCAGCATACGTCGCATACATGTCCTTGTCGCTCTCTTCCAGGCATTTGCTGACAATCGAGCACCATGGAAGATCTCCAGCCTTGCCGGT